GGTTACGGAGGTGACGTAAGACAATCTGACGATCCTCTGCATGTGACGTCACACGTGATCGACCTGGCCGAGGGCGATCAGCGGTAGTAGCCGTTTGCGTCTGTAAATCATAAACAGTCCGTCGACTACAACCCATCGTCCTTGCGACTTCAGCTACGGACGTTCCCGTCTGCAACATGCCGATGGCACGTTCACGTTGCGCATTTGAAAGGCGTGTCATGACAAATGGCCGTAAAGACTTTTGTTTTCTTGTGTTTTTCTTTTTTTGTTAATGACTGCTAACAAGTATGGCTGAAAACACGTGCGGTATTATGGCCACGTGACCAGTTGCACGTGAAAAAACACTTTTGCCTCTATAGTGCTGTGCACATGATTTTGATCGATTCACCTGCACAAAAACGGGTGTTATCTGAAGACAATACGTGGCCATGACTGTTTAAATACACAATAAGGGCCCACAATCATAACTGGTGAAAATGTTAAAATGTTAGGATTGTGAAGTTTTTAATTTGGTTCAGCATATATACCCTTAAAAAAAGAAAACGCAAAGCCAGATTTGTGTAAGGTAGGAAAATACATTTATGCGAGAAACCGTACAAGGTATTGAGCCAAAATGTTGTGGAGTGAGTGAGTGAGTGAGTTAATGCTTTAGGTCACATCGGCAATATTTCAGCCATATCGTGACAAGCAAAATGTTGTGGAGAAAACACTTGGTGATTGTAGACATCTCAGATATCGGTACATAGGATAAGTCCAAGGTGAAGGTCAGCTTCCAACAATAACGCGTATGTCCCCCGTTGGAATCGATAGCGGCCTGACATCTCCTGCCCATTGAAGAGAGGAGCATGCGAATCACATTCTGGGGAATGGTAGCCCACTCGGCCTGCAACGCAAAAGCCAGCTGCTGCAACGTCTGGGGTTATGGTTGACGTCGTCTATCCAATTCATCCCACAGGTGTTCTATCGGGTTCAAATCCGGGGATTGCCAGGGGAGAACATCAACGTTGTTGTTGTTGTTGTTGTTGTGTCGACAAGGCTCTTGTGATTCATTCCGTATGCGGTCGAACGTTGTCCTGCTGGAATACACCGTTGCCGCTGGCTGCAATTGGGAGGACGTGTGGTAGGAGAATTTCGTTGATGTATCGTTGAGATTGCCCTGGATATGGATTAGACCTGTCCTGTCATGATGAGAGATAGCCGCCGACAACACCTGTCCACTCCCTGTACGCAGTTTCCGGCGTAATGACCCGACGTGTGTAGACCCGTTCTCTTCCATCCCCTCGACGGACCAGACGCAGTTGAGGCCATACCCTGTGTTGACGACACCAATGCAGTAGTTGTTGACGGTGTTGTCGACTCACCAATGCAGTAGTTATTGACGGTGTTGTCGCCTCAGTATGGCGCGTCGAACACGACGTCTTGCTCGTAGACCTGCTGCTCTTAAACGGTTTCGTACGGTCTGGTCGGAGATTCTGCGCTGTGGGGGTATTTGGGATGCGGTTGAGGTGGCTGTGGTCCTCCTTTCACGTAGGTGGCGCAATCGGATGTAGCGATCTTGGGCGGGCGTGGTTACTCTTGGTCGTCCCGACCTTTGCCGATCACGTGTTGACCCACGCTATTGCAACCGATCCCATAGCCTGAAAACCCTGGCTCCAGCTGAACGGGATTCCCCTGCCAGCAAGCGGCCTATGACATTGTTTCTTTGCACTTTTGGTAATCTTGGCATGTTGTTGAACTGTCACTGTTCGATTGACGCAGATGCCAGGCAATCAAAAACCCTGCACTATAATACCGTTCATAGTGCTGCTGCACGTGGAGCTCCATGGCCCTTTCGTTAATGCACTGGGTGCGTTTTTTTCCGAATCGTACGTGTTTGCCGACTAATGGTTTACATGTCCTTGTGGTGATCATTTTGATCCGGGACATTTGTCACTGACACTATAACACATTAAACCTCTTCAATTTGCACATCTTGGTCCGCTAATTTTGCTTTTATGGCCAAAAATATCCGTATTGCGTTCTTTCTTTCTTTATATATACAGTAAACTACGGTTATAACGAACACGCTTATAACGAACTAACGGATATAACGAACTAACGTTTTAGTCCCGACTATATGCTGTAGTTATGCGCTGTATATATGCTTATAACGAACTACGGTTATAACGAATTAAAATTAGTAGTCCCTTTGAGTTCGTTATAACCGTAGTTTACTGTATACCCACGGCCAAAAGATACGCGAACCATAGACACATATAGAGAAGTATGTATGTTAAGAAGAGATGATTCTAATGGGTACCAATTAATGACAAAACTAACAATCAGTTAAGTGGCTTTATTCTTATCACGAGATGCTGCACGTGATTTCCAAACCTTACAGGCTAATCCTGCACGAGACAAATGGTGCATCTCGAGTCATGAATCTGTGACGTCACATATGATGCGTTCATGAGCGTCGGTTCACACAACATACTAATTGCAGTATGTTCTAGTGCATCGAACCAATCTAATATCTCTTGAATACGAGTAATTGTTCATAATTATATTAGCCAACATGTATGGCATTCGCTATTCTTTTGTCGGTCAGTATATATGTATCGAGTTTCCATTTATCGTCTTCTGAAGGCAACTATTGTCATCTGAGACAGAATGTCAACTCAAGAAATCAATCATGCGGGAGCTACTTATCACATGTTTGTTATGCAATTGAAAAAAAATGCCTAGCAACAAACAAATATGAAACCATCTTTCTAAAATGTTTGAGGTTGAGCCGCCTTTGACACATGTATTGCCACATCATTTTGATTCGTTAAAAACCATACCAGACAAAGAACTCATGTTCGTGTGATAATCGGGAAATTACTGACCGGCTGTCCGGCGTTTATTGATTCCTTTGATCGTATGTATTCTATATGATTTATGTTTTCTGTCTATCCTGATTTATAAACAGGCTACCCCAGCATCGATATCGAAGCTACCAAGGCCAGGGAATAACCAGTCACGATTATCCGCCCAAAGCAGATATTCCCTTGGGCGTTAAAGGCAAAAAAAACTATACTCAACAACAAAAGGCATTACCTTTCAACATGACAACGCCCTGCCTCCTATTGCTCGACTTGTTCAGGATTCTCTTCAAAAGAACGTGAATGTCATCCCCTGCCCGGCTCGCTCCCCTGATCTCTCACCAATCGAGCACATGTGGGATGAGATGGATCGGCGCCTTCGACGTCAACCACGCGTTCCACAGACACTCCAGGAACTTCGAAATATGCTCCAGCAGATATGGAGATATCCCACAGGACTTTGTGCGACGCCTGGTCCATTCCATGAGACGAAGATGTGTTTGATGTGTCAATTGACATTTTGGCATGTTCATGTTTTTGTGTGTGTTTTTTTTAATGAAATCACGCATTTTCTGAAGTTAGTATGGCAAATTAAACCATTTGCACACTTACAGGAGTCTTTTATCTGTTGCAAACCGAAATTGTTTCAGATTTGGTAAAAAATATAACTTTGCATTAAAAATCTTATTCAATGTCACAGGAACTTTTGTTGTTCAATATACATGAATGGATCACTGTAAATCAGTGATGACACCAGATGTTCGCGAAAAGGGTAAGCATTTCCTGAAGCCAGTTATAAAACAGCAGGTTGTAAGTAAAGTAACTCTTAAATATGGGGGGTGGTATACTTTGATCGGATCTGTATTGTTAATACTTAGTACAAGCAGACACACGCACGCACGCACGCATGCACACGAACCGTGCCCGTACGTCGCTATATAAATGCATTAATCTGGGGTGAGGTGAGGTGAAATGGGGTTTAACGTCGCGTCCACTTATATAGCGACGTGCGTGTACGTGTGTGTGTTTGTGGGGCTGCTTGTACTAGTCCGGACTGATGTCGATTTATAGTGCTAGCTCACTGAGATACCATGCCGCAGTTTAACATGAATACCCCACTCAGACACAGTATACTGATTCCGAGCCGACCAGTCCTTGTTTTAGCCCCTTAATGCCGAGCGCCAGACAGGGTAACAACGAGTACCATCGTTTAACGTCTTATGGTATGACGCGGTCGGGGATCGAACCCCGGACCTTCCGCTCTCCGGGCGGACGCTCTACCACTAGACCACGGAGGCGGTACCAATAATCTGGGATGCGACGTCAAACCCAATTTCTCCTAATTCGGTCACATGTTTCATTCAGTTCAATTCATTAAATATTCACTGTTTGTGATAATGTATTTTATGTCTTTCGTTGTTATTTCGAGTTATTTCCAGCCAATACAACGTCACTGGTCTATTTAATGAGAAAAGAGAACTATCTCAAGAATGTCCAATCTCCCATAAATACGGCCTTTACGACTCCGCAACAGCACTTGAAATCTATAAAGGCCGATGAGTAGTGTTTATTATGTGAAACCCATAGCCTTCCTGACAGAAGCTTGCTACACGGTTATGTTCCCAAACACGCGATGGGGTCTATATTTAGGACACACTATCTCAATCATACCTTCCACATGTTACCACTGTGGCTGATACGATTGGCCTACTTAGATTGGCGTTTTGCCAAACAACTGCCTGTCGAAGCACAGAACGAAGCGTTGCCTTTGTCAACATGGAAACATCACTCGGCTGTAAAGTGTAATTGTTGTGTACGTGCTAATGTCGATTTTACATAACTATTTGTCAACACAGGACAATATTACTGTTGCTGCGTCATAATACAAACACAATGAAGCATGCAGATAATAGATAGTGTTTGATCAATGCAAGAGTTGTGCTTCGTTGATAAATTTAACCGTGGTCGTCGTTGTTCTAATCGAAGAGGCACGGAACGGCCCTGTCACGTGATCCAGTGACCCGGAAAATCCCCGATTGTAGGTCATCGCTTCGTTTTACACTGCCGATACCCAAGGGGCGTAACTGCTACGAAGGCAGTATTAATTTTCGCGCCTTCCATTGGTCAGATTCGATCACGTGATTACACTATCATCGTATAAATATACGCGCAGCACGGCCTCATGGCTGATCAGGTTGGTTGACATGCATGCGTGCCAAGAGTGGAATAATTATGATGCGATGATGTATCTTGATCGTCTTTGAATGTAAGTAGGTTCCGTTGTTTAGTACCCTATCATTATTTAGACCACAGTTTAACACTTTCAATCTGAGATTGTAGATTCAATGCCTGTTCAGCTTGGGTGTGTAGCACGCCCATTTGTATACGATGGGCGATGACTCAGTCCATATATAGACATGTGGAATTCTTGACCTAATATGGTGTTGAAACTGGCTGATTTAGGCCTAACAAGCCCCAGTACCAGAATGTATGATACACTGCCGTAGCCCGGGGGGGGGGGGGGGGGGGGGGGGGGGGGGGCTCCTTGATTTTTTTTATAGAAAAGAGTTTATTTGAATCAAGTTGGGGACAAGTGATACCAGTACAAATATTTGGCCCCCCCCCCCCCCCCCCCCCCCGTAATAAAAAGTTGACTACGGCCTTGAGATACCTGAAATATTTTCAGTATAATGGGGACAGCATGTACAATTAACGCTTGCCCGCTAGTCCGTGTCAAGTAAAATGTCAAAAGACAAGGGCAGTGCTGACCGATTAATATCCACAGAAGACAATGTACCAGTTTTCTCATTATGCTCATTGTTAGTCATTCAGGCTTTTTTGTTTGGCTGTTCCATACAGTTCAATATGACTCACAGCAATTGAACTCTTAAATTGTTTTATTTTTTAATGAGTTATAATGGGATTAACGGAGTGATTAATTGGTGGGGAATCAGGGCCCCGTTCCTCAAAGCCATCTTAGCACTAAGGTGATCATAACTCCCATACTTTAACATTGGCTTACGATAGTCGTAGCGCTAAATGGCTTTGTGGAACGGTGCCCAGGTCTATGCCCCGGGGGCTGCTTTATGTGTTTGTTTAGATTTGACTGTTCATCCAGTTGGTTTTCTCAACCACATGCTTTTAACGGATGTTAGAGGACATATGATTGGATGACATTGAAGGTCATGGGTATTTTGTGTGAACTTGGCATGAAGAAAGCTTGTGCACATATCTTGGGTATTTTTTGTTGAAATTTGAAAATTAAGGGAGTGAGTGAGTATGGTTTTATGCCGCTTTTAGTAATATTCCAGTTAAATATGATAAAAATTGATATACATTATCTCTAAAGTAAGGTCTCAATCATATTAACTTTGGGGTGACCTCCATGTTAGGTCAAGGTTGTGATCAAATTATGAAACATGGTTCAAAACATTTTTCAAGAAGTGAAGACAATGAAGATGAACTATACTAATCAAAGGATCACCATTTTAAAAGGTACTATGTCGAATTGTATGCATCTTTTGAAATGGACATATTGCATGAGACATGTTTAATGAACAAATGTCTGTTGTCATGTGCCACACAATTCCAACAAACAACATGTGACCAATAATCAGTCAGATCAGCCTGGCATACAGTCTCACATACATATCCAGAATGTCATCCCTGTAGTGCACACCTGTCAACGTGCCCCGCTCAACGACATGTAGAGCGTTTCTTCTAGCTCTACTTATCCCACCCCAAATCATGTTTGAACCCCCTCCATAGCAGTCATGTTTGGCTACATTGGAATACTGAAGTCTTTTCTCCTTGTCCATGCCACACTCAAGCACGACAATCTGTGAAACTGAGATAGTATCTCGATTCATCAGTGAAAGGGAACTGGAGCCAATTCCTTTTCTGTCCCAATTGATGTGATTTTCAGTCCAATCCAATCATGCCTGCCTGTGATGGGTCGATGGGCTGTGAATTCATGCCCTTCGTGACTGGACATACCTAGACTATTGCACACTTGTTTGGGTAGAAACTTTATCGCCACTGGTCTTCTGCAGGTTATTTCAGAGTGTGGTGGCAGTCACAAAGTGATGTCTTCCTGCAATCATGACAAACCTGTCTTCCCGCTGTGTGGTGGAATGCTGTCGACTGCCTGCATGTCGCTGGGTGGCTGATCCAAACATTTGGTATCGATTCCATGCCCTGCTGATCACACTTTGGCTGACACCAAAGATGTTTGCAACGTGACTGCAATGTGACATTGTGTTAACCCAGTTTCAAGCATGCCCATGCATGTGCATCTGCCTACTTCTTCGGTCATCAAACGACTTCTTTCACTCTGAGGGGGCAGTAACATTATTCCATGTGATTGATGAAGAATGGAGGTCAAGGTCACTCCCTCCTTTCAGGATGAAAAAAAGCTTGTAGCAGGACGTGGAGTCATCCCACAGCTTGCTGAGTGGTTAACAGTGTGGACATGGTGTCCGACATCGGATCAGAGGGTTCATGAAAGCTTGTAATCAGTTTTATTCAGAAAGTATTGTAATTATAGGATGATGGTATGAACACTACATTGCTGCCATGGCAGCCATATTGAAAATGTCATTTTCAGCCATTACTCAGCAGTTTTTGCATGTATCATTATGTTTTGTTTGTTATCGTCATATAATATAATAATCAGTATGTCCGTCTGTCGTCTGTCCGTCTGTAATCATTGTTTGTCTGGAGCATATTTCCTAAACCGTACAACCTAGCTTCACAAAACTTGGTACACTTAACAATCAGGCCCAGTAGAAGTGCCTTTTGCTATTTAGAGACTTTTAGAATTTTATATTTTTGTCGTTTCCATGGACATATGATGAACTTAGGAAATTTGAGGGTAGTGCTCTTGTCCGGAGCATATTTCCTAAACCGTACAACCTAGCTTCCCAAAACTTGGTACACTTAACAATCAGGCCCAGTAGAAGTGCCTTTTGCTATTTAGAGATTTTTAGAATTTTATATTTTTGTCGTTTCCATGGAAATATGATGAACTTAGGAAATTTGAGGGTAGTGCTCTTGTCCGGAGCATATTTCCTAAACCGTACAACCTAGCTTCCCAAAACTTGGTATACTTAACAATCGGGCTCAGTAGAAGTGCCTTTTGTTATTTAGAGATTTTTAGAATTTTATATTTTTGTCGTTTCCATGGAAATATGATGAACTTTTTCAATTTAAATTGAAAATTGATGAACTTAGGGTAATGTCCTCGTCTGGAGCATATCTTCTAAACCATGCGACAGAGATTCACCAAACTTTATGCAAATATCAATCATGTTCACTAGTAGTGCAGTTTGTTATTTATAGATTTTAATCTTTTTAATTTGTAGCCCCTGACATATAATGAAACAAGATGTTTAGGTTTGTTTTTTTGTCAATCCCTAGTACGTTCTCTTTATGCCTTTGGACCTGTGAAGATCCGGGGTAGAATAGGTCTTCAGCAACCCATGCTTGCCGTAAAAGGCGACTATGCTTGTCGTAAAAGGCGACTAACGGGATCGGGTGGTCAGGCTCGCTGACTTGGTTGATGCATGTCATCGATCCCAATTGCGTGGATAGTACTCGGATGACTCTTGTTTGTTTGTTGTTTAACGTCGCACTCAGCAATATTCCAGCTATATGACGGCGGTCTGTAAAATAATCGAGTCTGGACCAGACAATCCAGTGATTGACCTCATGGGCATCGGTCCACACAATTGGGATCGATGACATGCATCAACCAAGTCAGCGAGCCTGACCACCCGATCCTGTTAGTCGCCTTTTACGACAAGCATAGTCAAGCATTGGTTCCTGAAGACCTATTCTACCCCGGAACCTTCACGGGTCTGTATCATTATGAATTTGTGTGATACCCATTGGCTGACAAAACTATATTTGTTTTGGCCATCAAAACAAGGGTTAAGGACCTATTTCTCAAGGAGAGCTTTCTGTGAGTGAGGGAATACTGTATAAAAGGTACCTAGTAATCCAGAAACTGACCTCTGCACTTTTATAAAAAAAAGACCCATGAAGATCTGGGCTAGAAAAGGTCTTCAGCAACCCATGCTTGCCGTAAAAGGCGACTATGCTTGTAGTAAGAGGCAGCTAATGGGATCGGGTGGTCAGGCACGCTGACTTGGTTGATGCATGTCATCGTATTCCAATTGCCTGGATCGATGCTCATGATGTCAATCACTGGATTGTCTGGTCCAGACGCGATCTTTTTACAGACAACTGTCATTTAGTTGGAATATGGCTGAATGTGGCATTAAACAACAAACAAACTTTTACAAAACTCTAAAGTATCTTCTTCTCTGATACTGTTTGACTGATGAAGATGAAATTTATCAAGTTTGGCTTGCAGTTCCTTCTTATGAAGACTTCTTATCATGTAACATTAATGTGAATTTATTTTAAGTCTTTTTCACAAAAATATGTTAAAAATCACTTTTTACAAAAATATTTTAGGTCTTATTCTTTAGAATGACATGTTGCAGAGCTTAAACTGTGTGCGAATGTTAATGACTAAAGGAACATCAGAGTTGGACTAAGGCATCATTTTTGTGTGTGCTAGATTGTTGTCATAACAGTTTCCAAAGTCTTTTTTCTTAAGAATCCTTTGCACTAATCTGTTTGTAACCCTTCACAGATCTTCTTCCAAATTAAGGTTACATTGTCATAAAATTATTTCTTCATAAGTCAGGTGAGCTACAGCCATAATTATAATATCAAAACTTCCAATAAACATTCCTATTAAAATAGTATTTCAGGTGTAGAAACAAACATTTGTCAGTCTACTTGTCCTTACAATGATAAGATATAGCAAAACCCTTAAAATGGCAAATTTCTACTAGTCATCATGATACCTTTACTTTTGGCCAGTTTAGCAAGGACTACAGGACTAGTGCCTATTTCTAACGCTGTATTTAAATTAAGAATATTGGGTGTCTTTAAGTGCCTCCTTAAATAATTGAATTCCCAATGTCCTTAATGCAGTTTTGAATTTTATCGACTAAAATACTGTATTTCCCTGTGTATAATGCACACACCCTGTCCTGTTTTCTGGGAAAATACCTTTCGTATATTGTGCGGCAATGTGTGCAGTCAAAAACTCCATCGTATGGCTTGAGGAAATGGAACAGCAAAGTGGGTTGATGAAAATGTGAATTTAGGGATAATACAACTGGACAGCATGGGTATTTACTCTCCAGTTTTCTTTGTCCTAGAGAACTCCCTGGACATGAGGATGATTAT